TAATGCATTGATATTCCTAGATAATATTATATTGTGAATGATGTACAATATGGTATTTCTTTAGTATTTGGTAAACATTTAAATGTATCCATTTCAACCAATACATATTTATCACATGTAATTCTTTAGAAAAATACATATATAAAGTATTTTGGCCCAGGGTCTAGCTTCTTCACCCTTCTTGCATTTCTTCTGCTTTACCCTTCTTGCGTTTCTTTGTAGTAGGTTCAGATTTCCTCTCCGACAGAGCAGTTACTTTGGATCTGAGAGCCATTTTCTTTTTTCTGGGAACTTGACGTTTGAACTCTTTAAGAGAGTCAACAAGACTTAATTTTATGAAATGTTCACTTATGTCTTGGAAGAGCTCTATGATGAGTTGTAAAACAATTTCATCCTCTATATCACTATCTGTGGGTATCTTACATATACTTATCCACTCCTGTATCAATGAATAATTTTCATCAATCTTATTTCTCAGAAACTGATGAATGTTTTCCGTGTGAAAATTAATGTGTTCCATCGTTAGAGATGACTGTATTGCTCTATGAAGACTGATAAAAAACTCAAAAACTGGTTCACTAACTATAGTAAGTCCTCTACTTTCACCTTGTTTGGCTTTAATTTCCAATACAGTTTGGTCATTTGCATCAACATTCTCTTCTTTGATCCTCAGTTTCTGAAGAATTGCCTGTTTTTTGTAATCCAGGTTACAAAGCAGTTTCATCTTTTTACTTGTACTTCCCAATCTGTGTAGTACAGAGTCTTGAAGCCGTCTCCTGATTTTATAAACACATCTTCCAGCAAGATACCTCACCTTGTTCTTTGCTGCACAACTTATATCAGCATGCAACTGTTGACCTTGTTCATGTTGTTCGTCCAAAGAATTTTTCTGTTCTTCCAAAATTTCACTTGCTTTACAAGCAAGGGTTTGGTCTGTAATCCAGAACATTAGTTTGGAACTAAATTTATTTTGGTCTTTTGTTAGGTGTTGAACATTGAAAGTGAGCTTTGTGAAATTAATATGTTCATCACTTATTAGGAAACTGTTTATTTTACGATAAAATGCTGTAAACTCTGGGGGAGTTTTTGGTCTAGGTGGCAAATAACTTTCAACCTTGTGCTGCAAGAAACAGCCATGTTTTCTGATAGTTGCGGAAGAAAGGAATTCCAAAGAAAATGATTTCAAAAATTTGGCCAATTGATTTTCATTTAAAAAGTCATTTATATTGTATTTAAAGTCCTCAGGAATGTGCTCAAATTCTGGCTGATTTTCTTCATCCTGGTGAAGGTCCTCTGTGTAGAAATCCTGTTCCTTAGATGGTTGTGAAGTAACTGTTTCTGATGGAATTTCACAAAGTGCACTCGAGGAAGAATTACAACATTCAAGATCGTCCTCAGGAACATGAAATCTCTCATTATAAAAGTCAAACACTTTCTGTGGATGTTTCAGAAAAGCAGCGTCCTGATTGAAATTCCTAATCCTCAGCCCTTCAATAGTTGTTGCCCTTCCAAGGGCAACCCCTAGCTGCCCAGCACAGAAAAAAGAGTAACAATCTACTTCCAAATGTTCCAGGGTTTGTCCTTGTGCCCTATGTACTGTCAGAGCAAATGCAAGACTAAGTGGATATTGTTTTCTACAAGCAAGAGTGACATTTCGGATAGGGTCAAAAATATCAAAGTTAGCTGGTTTCATAGTCACCAATTTTCCAGAAAAGTTTACTACAGGAGGTTTGTCCTTTTCCAAGGAATAAACAGTCCCCCTCATACCATTGTAAAGGCCAGAAACAAGGTTTTTTAAAAGAATTACAGGTGCATCCTTCTTCAATAACAGGTGCTTCTGCACTGGACTTTTCCTCAAGAGCTGAATATTTCCTACAATTATATATACACATGTAAATATAAAGTAAATAATACTTTAATACTTTTAATAGTGTAATAACAAGTCTAAATACTTTCAAAATTTGCCATAGTCACAATCTCTTACTACCTACTAAGAAGGACTTAATCTCGGATGTACTTGTATTTCCAAGAGCTTGAGAAGGTGAAATAATGGTATACCTAACTTGAAAAAAAAATACATAACCTAAAATTTCATAAGGGGACATTGCTATAACCAATCTTATGTTAAGAAATATGCAAATACCTTCATCAACAGCTTCAAACTTAATTTCTTCACCCTCCATATCTTCCAGCATCACATGGTTAACATATGACACATCAAAATTTGTACCATACAATAATGTAGGATGAGCATTTGGTGGAAACAGGGGTCTGTCAAGGCTTGAACAAAATGCTAAGGTCTCTGGGGTAGGAGAACCATCACAAAGCTGATGTATGGCATCTATCAGTTCCTTTTCATGTTGGCGTCTCACCTAAGAAATTGAAAACAAATCATTAGTAATTTTAATAGAATTAAACTTAAAAAGGATAATCATAAGACAAACACAAATCATAAAGGTAATTTTCCTTTCTCATCCAGTTTTCACACAACAAAACAACAGAAGTATTAATTTACCTTTTTCAATTGTATATGATGAGGCAATGCTAAGCGAAAACATGGGCTTTCAAAAGCATAAAGACCTCCATCTCCATATCTTGGATTTGGCACTGGGGGCAGCTGTTTAAAATCCCCAGAGGCTATTATCTGAAAAAAAGTATATAAAATAGATTAACTAAAGATTGTTCCAGATTTAGTAATCAACATGTACAATTGTACTAACATTATTACTATGAGGTGCACATGCAGTGTTGTATTGATAGGAAAAGAGGACAATGTACACAATACCTAATATTATACATTGAGGGTAAACTGTATAGTTCATTCTTATTCTGCATTATACATTTCATTCTTGATTTGCATTTTGTGATCTTCATTTCAAAATTTATCACACTTACTTGCATTCCCCCAAATACATGGTTGTTGCCTTTTACCAGACGACAGACATGCTCTACTAAGTCGAAAGTCCTGGCTGATATCATGCTGATCTCATCAATAACAAGTACTGAAGTTTTTTCAATGCGTCTCCTGCTTTCAGAATAAACATCATCATGCAGAAAAAGCTCTGTGTATTTTTCCTTTGAGAACCTGTAAAAATATATCAATGAATTCAATAAATTATTTAGAGATGAAAAACACAAATTTACACAATCAAATTTACACAAATACATGCTGATATCTTTTCTGTCATAACAATCCAAAATCACAGAGATCAAGAGATTAATGTACTGTTTTTGCGCATGTTCCAAAAAATTATAACACCTTCAAAACACCCAAAAGACCTTGCATAATTCTGACACTACCAACCCATAAAGGATCTGCTCTTTAATAGCTAGCTTCTAGTTAATATGGCTATAAAATATACTAGTAATCTGAAATTTAATTCAAAAGTTCAAAACATTTTAAAATATCTAAAAATTTACCAAGAGAAATTTTCGAAAGTTTAATTACCTAAGCAGTAATTATTCAATGACAAGCATTTATGAAATAAAAAATTTCTTTTTATAAATTAATACTAAAAATTTCAGTAAGTGATGTGGTGAAAAGATCTATTTAATCACAAAAAATTGAAAAAAAAACAGTTGAAAATAATTTTTTACTGAATGTTTTTTTTAAAAAGATTTTTAATATTGGTGTAGAACTCTTCAAGGACAAGACTGGGACATAACTTAAATTTGGATACAACACACTCCTACACACTGATACTAAAACATGAAAATACAACTGTAATGTGTTAATAAGAAGTACTTTGAGTAAAGTTCTTTGAAGTACCTTCCGTCCTGTATACCAGCCCAGTGATGAAGGGTTGTTGCACCAGAACCTAACTGTTGGCTTGCCACTCCTGTTGAAGCTGTGACTGCTACTTTTTTTGTACCAAGATGAGATATTATTTTTCTGAAAACAAAGAAATTTAATGGTGTATGAGGCAATTAAAAAAACACTTTCATTATATGTAGCTTAATTATAGTATAATCAACCAAAAATAAAAGATATAACATATTTTCATGTACTACAGAATAAAAAATAAATTAAATAAAAAAGAATCAAATAATACAGGATTAACATTCCACATACATCCTCTTAAAAATATACACATTTTTAAAAAATTAATAATTTTCAAAATCATTACACTGCTGTTTTGTGTTTTAGCCAACCAATCTGACATCTGTGATTTTTTGCTACATGAAATTGGCCTTGGTTCATGGTAATCACCAACTACTCTGGTCATGTTCAATCTATGTATTAAGGAAGCTCTAAACACTACACACTAAAGAGTTCTATTTGTTTGGTAGATTATGCTATTCAAGAGTGATCTGTCCTTGGAAGTAAGATTTAAAAAAAAGGTTATTTACAGTGAATTATACAATTTATGTTGGATTAAAACATTCTTAACATAATATGAGATCAAGAATATGAAATCAAATTCATTATATCCATTAATTTATCCAATGTAAGCAAACAACAGTGATTTATTCAAACTTACAGGTTGGCCATTCACTACACCAATGAAAGCCCAACTTCTTACACTTGCCTGACTGAAATAATGAATGGTCTAAACATGTTCTGCACAGAGAAGGATGTTCAAATTGCAACATCAGATGTTATATCTAAGATCATCAGTAAGCTTTTCAGAGTTAAGTCTTCCCGCATTTATGAGCAAGGAGAGTACATTATTGCATTTCAAGGTTTAAAACAACGTGTACAGCATACCAGCAATGAGAACCTGACTTTTCCAAATAACTGTCAACTGAAAACTTTTAGTAACCACAAACTAAATTTTTTGGTGCCATTTGACCTTTGCATAAATGGACAACAACAGTACTGTGAAATTCATATGGAGGCTTCATATTCAACATTAACAATACAAGGGCACACAAGCAAATTGAAGTTTTCTTTAACCCCAGTACAACATCACATAGATGGGATACTGCATTTAGTCAAGAACCTACATATGTGTGAAGGACAACCAATAGAAAAGTCTTCTAGTGAGTCTATAACCTTGTCCACAGCCAGTGGAGTACTTCAGAAGCATGTTGTAAAGTCCAAATCATGCACAATTTTGCTGCCTCCTCTAGCAACATCAAATGCATGTTCAGCATGTAAAGACTACAGACGGAAGAGAGAGAAACGAAAGGCACTCAAAGAGATCAGTAACAAGTTGCCAAGGCTCAATTCAGAGATGGTCAGTGATTCAAAAGAAGATACCTGTGTCCTTGATGCACACATCCAATTTTGTGAAGAAGATCACAAAGATTTTGAAATACTCCTGAATAATGCCCTAATGGATGCTCCAGAAAAATTTCAGCTTTTACTTCAATCCCAGCTACAAAACTGTAGGAGTGGTCTAGATACTCACCAGCGTAGGTGGGATCCTCGAGTTATCAATATTTGCTTACAGCTGTTTTTGAGATCTCCACAGGCATATGAAGACCTGCAGAAATCAGGTGTATTAGTCCTCCCATCCAAAAGACTACTTCAATACTACAAAAATTCCTGCTCTTCCAATGAGGATAATCTTGCATGGATGAAAATTGAAGCAGAGAGACAAGGAATACCTGAGTTTGGTAGACATGGAGGCCTTTTAATAGACGAAATGTCAATTCAGGTAACAGTAATATGCAAATTTTAACACTAAGGTTTAATATAAAAAAAATTTGTTGCTGCCCCTTGACCCACTAAATATGCACTTTTTAATAAAAAAAAAAAAAAAGATTGGGGGGGATAATTTTTTGAAAAATATTTCCTTTTGGCAAGTTTGAAGTTTACGTAATATTTATAACCTTAAGAAATTCCCTAATATTTGTTATCCAGTGAAAATTTGAAAATTAACTAAAAAAATGTTAACAACAAAGAAAAACTATACCCACCTACACTAAAAATTATGATGGTTGACATAAAAAAGTTATAAACATGTCTGTAGTTTTTATTTATGTACTGTTTTCCTTTACAGGATGATCTTGTAATCACAAAAGTGGGAGATTGTTGGAAGTTAATTGGCATGGTTGATATGGGTACAACAAATGAAAATATTGATATTATCTGCAAAGGAAAAAAGGTTACAAGGCTTGCCTCACAGGCTCTGCAGTTTGTTTTCCATGGCTTTACAGGTTTCAGGTGAATAATCTTATCAAAGACTTTATAAGCATTATGATGGATGTGAATTTTAAAGCTACAACAGATTTAAGGGGGTTGGGGGTTGTGGCCATTTTTAGACTATATTTGTCTCCTTTAGAAGAAGAGCTCCAGATGAAGATATAGAAAATGATCAAATTTTAAAACAAAAATTTTTGAAATTTTTCTTTGCCAAATGATCGCTGACAGCTTAAGATATCATATCTAAAAAATTAAGTTAAATCTGGTGGTAAATTTGTGGTTAATTTGTTGACCCCCAGCCTCCTTAAATAGAATTTCAATTAAGGATGGTTGAAAATTATAATCTTTGATTATTTACTCTTTAGGGTTTCATGAAAGTTGTTTGAAAGTTCATCTTATAATACCATTAAATGTTAATCTTGTAGATGGCCTGTCTCCTACTATGGTTCCACAACTGCCACATCACACCAGCTGTACCTGACATTTTGGAAGAGTGTTGATGCTTTGGAAGAAATGGGTTTCACAGTGGACTACATGATGGCAGATGGGGCAACCACAAACAGAACATTCACATCTATGTTGTTTAATGGAGACCCAAGGGAAGAGCTATTTCTATTCAAAAATGTGTATAACAGAGAGCATGTGATGGTTGCCATACAAGACATCAAACATGTGTTAAAAAGAATTAGAAACAACATAGAATCAAGCAGAAAGGAAAACAAGGAGAATTCCAAGGGACGTTACCTTGTTTTGGAGGGGCAAGCAATTCTATGGGACCATTGGGAAGAATGCTTTCTTTTTAACTATCAGGGTGGCTTTGAAATCCACAACAAATTAACTGAAGACCATATCACTCTGACAGCAGCCTCAAAAATGCGCAACCAACTGGCCATTGATGTTTTGAATAAGAACATGCTGTTCCTCATGAAAAGTTACCAACAAACATTGCCAGATCCTGAAAGACTTTCATCATCAATAAGACTGCTAGAAGCGACATCGATTATATGTGATATTTTCTGCAGCATTAACCACCCAGTCACATCCATGGAGGATCCAAGGATAGCAGAGATATCTCAAGCTCTTCAATTCTTTAACAGGTGGGAGGCTGACATTTTGGAATCTTCACCTACACTTGCCAAGAAGAATCTGATGACAAAAGAAACACGTGATGACATCAATTCATCCCTGGTTGGATTCACCTCACTATGTAGGCAGACAACAGGCAAGGGCAACTCCTTAAATCCTGGATTTTTGAACTCAGACCTCATTGAAAACTTTTTCTGTCAGCAAAGAGGAATTCGAAATGGGTTAAATTCTAATCCTACATTGGAACAGTTTGCCAAATCAAGCACGGCCATTGTACTTGGCCAGTGCTTAGTGTCAAGGAGAGCCAATGCATCAGAATCTGCCTCATCAAGTTATTTTCGTGCTAAGTTATCAAGACCTTTAAACTCTACGAGGAAAAGCAGGAAGCAAATTAAGGTCAAGATCTAGTAAATAACTTTAGACTAATTTTTTGGTGCTAGATCCATTATGACGTCATAATCAATTTCAACTTTCTTTTTCCCGTACTTTACGGCTTTAGCAGAATTATGTAGAAAATATGGTATTTTCATGACATTCAGTTTAAAATCATATGAAAAGTAAACCGGATACCTATATTAAATTTGATATTGATTTAAATATGATGCCATATACTAATTACCCTTTTCTGAGAGACTGTAGGCAATCTGGATACATTTCCTTTGTCGAATATGAAGAAAACTCCCATACTCATGACTGGTTTTCTTAATTTTTCATGGAAAATGACAGTTTAAAATACAGTTTTTCATCTTGTTTACCTACAAAGTATGCCCCGAAACACCTTATTTGACCAAGCTAAACTTGTAAAGCATCAATAAAGGAATTTATTTCTCAAATTTGATAAATCTGTAGGCACCTTTCATTTACTAATCTTGACCTTAAAATGAGGAAATTGAGAATATGAGCAGTAATTAACAACACAACAAAAAATAACTTCAACCATTTCAAGTTTTTGTGATCAAATGTAATTAATGACAGGTTTATTTTTTGAGTCTGTGCTCTATATTAGAAGCACCTAACACTGATGTTATGCAATATTTACATTTTGTTATTAAGAACCCTCTTTACACTGCACACTATAGAGCCATGATTCTGTCAATGTGGTATTTTTCTGCAGCTAGAATTATCTGCCCTTATATCTAAATTACAATAAATAGAAATTTACAGTATATTTCTAAATATGATATAATGTGACATTTCTCTTAATAATAATAGGTACATGTAAAATTTTAAATTCAGAGAAAAAACACTGTATGTACTGAATTTAAAAAAAAATCTGAAGTTCTTAAATCCTCTTGTGAATTGATCAAGGGTGCAATATAGTGTGTCTTCTACATGTATAAAGAAATTGAAAAAAAAAATTAAAAAATAAAAAATTTTGTATACTTCAAACACTTAATAAATATTACTTTGGTCAGATATGTAAACATGGGGACTTAAAAAGTACCAATGCACTGTCCCGTGGTATCTTTTGCAATTTAGTGGAATATAGCTACTCAGTATGTATGTGTGTGGGCATGTATATATATATATGTATGTGTATGTATGTATGTGTATATGTAAATATGTAAATAAAAATGTATGTATTTTTTTCTGTGTATGTATATCTCTGGCTTTTTTGCATTATGATACATGGTGGTACTTGTTTATAAATATCAATATGTATTTAAACTTCCCATGTTAGCAATTATCTCAATTTATGAGCCATGTGTACAAATTGATTAAGTATATACATGTACTAAGAATATGCTGAATACTACTATTACATCACACTTTGTTAATAACTGTTATATGCTCTGTTTATTAATCATGTATGTAATATGCCCACAAGGGCCCTGATCTGGAATAATAAATATATTCTATTCTATGATATTAACTTAAGTATTCTATTGAACACATATTTACATTTATTTTCTCAAATGAAGTAAACAAAAGTGATTTCTGTTGACTGATACTGCATGTATTGGGTTTGGACATTTTTCCTGTGGGTAAATGCCACGTATCAATTATTGAAAATTGAATATATAATCTTAATATCTACACCTCTATTCAATATCATTTTCTCCAAAAAACATTATGCACTGGTGTAGAGAGGGTCCTTACCATCATAATCATGGATTACATACGTTACATGTGTACATCCAAAAAGGGACGTATATTATTGTTTATAGTAAATAAACTTGTGTACCTTAGCCAATGTGTCTTGCCAGTGCCACACTGGCCTGTAATTAAAAAGCTGTGGCCTTTGACAGCAAGGTCTACAAGGTCTGCATCCATTCCCGCGAAAATGTCCGCTTTGTTTGGTTTTGTATATTAGTCACCGCTATTCACTGCGAACCTGTGATAGTAATACGTCACGTCATGGCGTCGCGGACAACGAATGTTTGAGCGAAGTTGTGGGAAAAAGTCACTGTTGCTGGTGTAAAGCATGCGTTTAAAATCACATGCATTAACAGGCATAAAGAATGGTCCTTTCCGAAAAGATTGGTTTGTGTTTTATAATTTTCAATTGAAAAATGATTGTGCGACAGCCTGGTTATAAGCGAGGGGTTCCCCGGTGACCTAAAATGCGTTGCACTCCTTGTGTTATTATTATAGGTATTACGTAAGGGGGATAACTGTCTATTATCATTTATTGAAGTATTAACATTTAATTTTGCTCGATGAGCATTTTTTATTTCGATGGAGACAGATTATCTTCATACATGTACGGTGACATGCACATTAAAAATGCTAAGGAAGTTAAGTGTTAAAACAACTATTTAGTGGATGAAATTGCTATTATTAGAGTTTGATATTAATAATTATTGACTGTAAAAATTGTTATACTTTAGAGCGAAAATACCGAAGGTCAAGTTAAGGAGACAAGGCCAAAGCGTCAAAGGAAAGAAGATAAGGAGGAGAGTACAAGTCTCGCGTCAGAAGCAGATGTTGTTGCAGACATCCAAGCCCCGGTAGTTTTCGCAGCTTCAGGCTTACATCAGGATCACCATGCAGCCCCATTGCCCTAAACAAGCACTGTAAATTCAGATACATCACACCCCTCAGGCCTCAGGTAATGCAATAGGGACCATTACAAATACGGAGGGCTGCATTCCACCCCAAATAAATTCTGTGCAGTTTTCACTGGGTCATAATGTCAGTTCCCAGGTGCGAATCTACAATTTTTTCAAGGGGGGGGGGTTGAAGAGGAAAAGAGTTACTATTACGCAAGTTTTACATATATAATTATGTCATAGCTTATTTCCCACAAAACAAATGAGACAATTCTTGGGTTCTTCGATTATATACTACCGGTCACGGTAGCCTAGTGGCATAGGCTTTGGAACGGGGGGGGGGGTTAGCCCCCAACCCTTTTTTGCAAATTTTATATATACATTATATAGGCATTGAAAATTGGGGTTTACCTTTTTTTGCTGGTGTAGCCCCCCCCCTTCAATTTGCTTCCGACGCGTATGAGTGGTAGAGCGTTCGTGATCAAGAGGTCCGGGTTCGATTCTCATTCGCGGCGCCGCGTCATACCTAAGACGTAAACATAGGTAGTGACAGCTTCTTCGCCAAGCGCTTGGCACTAGAAGTGAAAGTCACGGGTCTTTCGGGTAAGAGCTTAAAAACGTAGATCCCGTGTCAAGGTAGGCGTTGGTACGATAAAGAACCCTCACTGCTCAAAGGCCCTGAGTGCCGAGTATCGGTCAAAATTTGAAGCCCTTCACCGGCACCGGTGATGTCTCCATACGAGTGAAAAATTCTCGAGAGGAACTTTAACCAATATACAATCAATCAATTATACATACTGATAGTGAAGGGTCAAGTCAAATGGGATGTGGATATTATTATGGGGGAAGTGGATGTATTACCTGCGGCCGAGTAGTTGGGAAAATCAGTCGATGAGAGACATTACTTTTTAAGAATTGGTGCCTGTAGTACTGTCACTGTTGGTTTGGGGAGAATTTTTAAGTGGAATCAGGTGCCATTTCATACTGATAAAGTAGCGTCATTGGCCACCCTAAATTCACAGTCTTCAAAATCATCAAGAATATGTATATTGTTAAGCGAGAATATGTATATTGTTAAGCGTTCCTTTAGAGAATTTCTCACTAATATGGAGACGCCACCACTAGCCGGTGGAAAGCTGCAAATTTTGTCCTTCAGGTCATTGAGCAGGGAGGGATCTTTTTCGTGCCAGCACCTACTGCGAAACGGGACCTCGGTTTATATGGTCTCATCCAAGGGAATAGTCTCCGCGTCAAATAGAGGGATTCAAACCCGCGACGCAAGGAGCAGATGACGTTCTAACCAATGCGCCACGCGGGCGACATAAAGAATAAATGTAATTATTAAGAAAAGTGTCTTACATGTAATGAAATATAACGTAACACTGAAAACTAAACATGTAGCAGGTTTAGACAATTGTGTAGCTGATGCAATTTCTAGCATAGCTGATGCAATTTCTAGCAAGCAGTGGAAGCGATTTCGGGAGCTTGCTCCAGGAGCCAGAGAGGATCCAGATCCAATACCAGCAACATTTCACATGTTCTTAGAAGTGAGTCCATGTAATTGTTAAACGCAGCAAACTCTACAAATATTCTTTCTTCATACATATCAGGAATTTTAGCATTTAAAAAAAATTTCGAGTGCATGCAAACCCAGTTGCCTTGTAGTTGACCACTTTATAGCTTATATACTCAGATGAGCGATGTGGCCCCTTGGCCTCTTGTTATTAGCATCGATGTTTTATTAGATAGTGCTGTAGTTTCCATCATTAAAATATATAACGAGCCATTACCAGTAAATTTCACTCTAAATATTTAAGCAGTATGTGAACACCTCTTAGATCTATTAAATACGAGTGACTTGGAAGTCTCTCAGAAAAAAACCCGGGTATTTGTCTATTTTGAATTATTCTAGTTCACATTGTTATCTTCTCCATAGCCACTAGGGATGTTCTTCATCAAGGCCTATGGGCCTCATGTTAATTCCAAGGCATTCTTTTTAGTTTGGATTTTTCTAATACTGGGCACTGCAGAAACTGCATGACACAGGAATCCAACAACTGGGATATGCACCTTGAAGCTGCATTATTTTGTATCAGACAGGCGAAGTCAAATTACAAAGTCATCACCATATGAGATTGCATTTGGTAAAGAGCCAACCTTCCCATCAGAATTAAACCTAAATGAAAGCATCAATCCAAACAAGGCAACAGAGGCACTTGTACATAACCTGAACAGCTTTAGGCAAACACTGCGAGATTCTGTCCACGAAAAATCTAGACTGTATAATGTAGGAAGAAAGAGGCACTACAGAGAAAAGCTACAACAAGGCTAAAGTTCAATCCAGGAGATATTGTATACCACAGGAACTGTAGAAATCTGCAGCGGAAGCAATCCAAGATCAAGGAGTTGAACTGGATAGGGCCATACACAATTGATTCCATTTCAAAGAGTGGTGGTTCAGTTCTGAAAGATAAATCTGGATCAAGGCTTTAAAGGAAATGCAGTACTGCGAATTTGAAACTGCATAGGGAAAGGCCTGGACATTTGCAGCCGAAGAGGAAACCTGAACATTCCAAGACAGCACCAAGCACCGACCCCACGAAGGCTACCTGGAACGTACACCTGGAGACCGCTGAGGGCATCTTGGGGCCCACTCAGGACACTACCGACCAGCCTCTCGAGGAGCCCTCTAAAATATCCACCCTTGCCACCACAAAGAAGACTCTTAGATGGAAAAGGTAACACGAACAAGAACCTAGCAGCACCACAGAGTCGACCCAGGCCAAAGTCAAGAGAAATAAGATAAGTAACCAACAGGAAACTACAAGCAACAAAGAACCCTCCTGTGAGATGTCTTTCTCACCAGACTCATATGACGACATTCAGCGAAGAATAACAGAGGTTGACGCGGCGCCGCGAACGAAAATCGAACCCGGGCCTCCAGATCACGAAGCGAACGCTCTACCACAAGGCTTCCGTGACCGGTGAAAGTCGAATTGAAGGCCACAGCAAGTTTTTTTTATCACAAATTA